CCCCCCCCTCCCCCCCGCCCAGGATTATTGTTTTGGGATCAACAGATGGGGCATACTCTGTATTGCTATTTGCAACATGACTGTTGCAATGATTGTATCAGCTGTCAACATCTTGCCCCAGAAAGGCAGCAGCTGGCTGGCCCCAAGGTGGGGGGGGAAGGGCCGCTGCAGGGCACAGGGCGATGCCTTTGCTCGGTTGAATGGGGCAGCTCCGGGGTCGAGGCATGGGGGATGGCACTGACCTCACCTTCCCCTTGCCCCAGGAGGCTCTGGACCACATGTGCATTGGTGTGGACATGTCCATGTGTGTGTCCATGGACCTGCTCACCACACACCTGATGTATATATATAATCCTGTTTGTTTCTGCTGTGGACCCCACATCCAGCAACTCTGTGGGGCTGAAGAATGGGAGGGTGCAGTGCCTTGTGCCGGGTCAGTGCCTGAGGGAGCGGTGGAGTGGTGCTGAGCCCCTGTCCCATGCCTCCTGCTGCTGGCTGGCCCTCAGGAGAGGACTGTGCTTTCCAGAGCTGGTTGTTCTTGCTACAGGACTGACACTTTTGTTTGTTCAGTGCTTTCCAGAGTTGTAGCTAGAAGAAGCAAAGTCCTGGAGATGGATCAAGGTATGGGTGAGCTGGTGGGTGAACCTGCTGGGCCCCTGGGAGAGCCTTGGCTCGATGGGGAAATCACAGGCTGCACAAGATAGAAGGGGAAACTCTGGGGTTGGGGCATCCCTCTGCTGTAGGCGCAGCCAGAGGAGCTGCACCGAAGCAGTCTGAGGCTTGCTCCTGCCAGCCACCATGAGCACTGCCATGGCTGGGCTCAAGAGGGTCCCACCTACCCCTAAAGGAGCGCTGTTGCTGTTGCAAAATCGATGCCCCACAACAGGAAGCACCAGAGATGAGCTTGGCAGCCCAGGTGTAATGACTGCCCGTTTATGCAAATACATCACACACTAGGTAATTACAGGCGCATGCAGTGCTGTAGAGTGAAAGGCAGTGCCCTGCCTGGCTGCATGACCTTCACGGGGAGCTAGCTGATGGCTTATTCCTGCCTCACCGTTCAGCGCTGGGCCCCAGGCCTTATCTACTGTTCAAGTGCTCTGGAAGGGATCAGCGGTTTGCTGTGAGGCTTTTTCGTGCTGCAGCCTGCCACCTTGCCCAGGCGCTCATTGCAGAGGCATGTGCCTTGGGCTCTGGCTGCCCCTGCTCTGCAGCTCGACAGCTCGCTGCCCCTTCTGGGTTTTGAAGTCCGCCTCGGCAGTTCTAGGCTGGCTATGGTCCTGAGGCTGGGTCCAGTGATGGGAGGGCCAGGTGAGCTTCCCTGCACATGGCACAGCTGGCAGTTGGCATCTGTCAGGTCCGGGTGCACCAAGAGTGCTGGTCCAGGTGACCAGCCTCATCTGACCCCCCCCCCCCCAACACACACACACTGCCCACGGCCCAGGAGGCCCATTTAGGCTCAGCCCTTCGCCCTTTGCTGTAGGTGCGCCTGCCTCCGCATCTGCATCTGGCTCTGCCTCCTGGACGGAGCCCTCGGACCCATGTTGTAGCCTCATCTCCAGCCCTGTCTCTGCTCCTGTCTCCTGCTGCTTCTGCCTGGACTCCCTGAATGGACTGTGGATCCGCTTTGTCACTGGCTATGTACAGGACTGTTGATGGCCCTGCCAGCAGCCCTGGCTCTGCCCACCGCATGCAGCTCCTGCAGGATGGCGCTTTGGTGAGGGCACTGCCAGCGCTGGGGTTGCTCCCAGCTTGTCTCCCCTTGTGGGGCAGCCTCTCTCTTGCTCCTCCCTGACAGTGGGTACTCGTGGCTGCCTCTGGGTGTCCGACGATCATCAATCCTTGGGCATTCTGCAACTCACCAATCTGAGGGAGATTTTTTTTTCACATGCTCCCTCTCAACATACACTGTTCCCCTCTTTGGCCAGCAGTTTCTCCATCCACATGCACAAGCACCCAGAAAGCCCCTTCACACACGCTCGTGGCAAAGGGATCGTTGGGACACACTGACCTCCCTGGAGAGGGCTGGGGCACACTGAAAACTACAATGGCGGAGGGGGGGGGGGGGGGGAATTGCTGAACAGGGTCCTACACACCCTGCAGCACAAGTGGCCAAAGAGCAGGAGGCACTTGCATGAATGCAGAGAGTTTAACTGAGAGCATTTTGTAGGGATGCATGGGAAAGGCTGGCAGGGAAGAGATGACTTTGGGCACAGTCCCATCCTTCTGCATGGTGGTGTCACTTGGGATGTCCTGGTCCTCTGGGCACAGCCTGCTCTTACTGTATGGCTGGAAACACCACCTGTGACCATCATGATGGCCCAGATCAGTTCTGCCTTGCATGTTGTGGAGCTGTACCATGTGTGGGATCTCACCCAGACAGCATGTGAGCAGGAGAAACGGCTCTCCTAGAGGCCAAACGCATCACATTACAAGCACAAAAATTATCCTGTTCATGAGCTAGTCCAAGATGGTTAATAACAGCAAATGGAAATTGCATATATATACATATCATATTTATATATACATAAATAACAGTCACTTATACGTACAGCCATAGGCTTACTGGAAACAGGTTAACAACTTCATATTGGCAGTAAGTTCTGCAGTCTTCACTTCTCAGTGCGTAGGCCTCATAAATACGTCGATTGTAGTTGTGTGCCACTTCCCTCCAAGTAGACCTTTTGGTAGTTCAATTGCGGAATTATGTACTGCCCCCGTCCAGGGGATGACTCA